GGGTGCGGGGCTGCAGGGGGTGCAGAGGGGCTGCAGGGGGGTGTGGGGGGTGCAGGTTGGTGTAGGGGTGCATAGTGCTGGGCCCCAGGACTGGGCTGTTGAGAGGACCTAGGCCGCTATTCAGAACCCCACAAAAGGAGTCTTTGAATAGTTACTCCAGTAACTTCGGAGTTACTGGCTCCAAAATGGAAAAATAAAATGTTTCTTTTTCATTCATTTCCATTTCAAAAACATTTTTGTTTTTAATGTTTGCAAAATGTAAAGTTATGTCACATCTTTTAAAAAATGTTCAGTTTTCATAAACACCCTCATTACGTTCAAAAACGATTTGTCATTTAGAGTTTCTTATTCCAAGAAGATTCACTATGATTGTTGAGAAGTCGTAGCCAGTCGTAAATTAAACAAGTTCCTCATGCTCAAATAATTTTGAAAGCAAGGTGGTAAGAGTTATCTTATAATGTTATAATCAAAGAAAAGAATAAATCTAATGTGGAGATGTGATGTGGGGAGAGGCCTCTGAAGAGACGTATGTTTCAGGTTTGCAAGAGTCCAACGCAAAGGTTTAAACACGGCCTGAGCCGGGGTGGAAGGGTCAGGGCCCTGGGAAGAGAAGCAGGGGAGTGAGGCAGCTTTAGGACTGGAGCCCACAGAGGCATCCCAGGTGGAAGTAGAGAGAGGAGGAGAGCCCCAGGGAAGAGGGAGCGCTGGGGCAGGCTGCCACCCGGCCAATAGCACCCTCCCTTCCCGTTTGCAGCTCTCATCTTTGACGGCAGCACCAACCCAGCCCACCCCAAACACATCGGCAGCATCGACCCCAACTGCAACGTCTCTGAGGTAATCAAAGGTGAGCCATTCCCATGGTGCCTGGCCCGCAGAGGAGCTCAAGGGACCCCTCCGAGTTTACCTGGCCAGAGGGTGACTTGTTCCTCAGTGAGGGGTGCCATGGGTTTAATGCTAGTGGTGCCCAGTGTCATTGTCAAGAGGACTGCCTGCTGGGTGGGCCACTCATGCCCTGAATGGCCCCATCTTCTCTCAGATGCCTATGACATGGCTAAGCTCCTGTGTGACAAGTATTACATGGCCTCACCTGACCTGGAGATCGAGGAGATCAATGGTGAGTGACCTGGGCTGTGTGTGTGTCTGTCTGGGGGCTGGGGACATGGCAGGGCAAGGTGAGATGGGGAGTCAGGAAATGACTATTTTCTAGACAGGGGAAAAGCAGAGTTTTGATTGTATTATTAATTTGTTTGATAAATATTTGGGCTGGGCACAGTGGCTCACACCTGTAATTTCAGCACTTTGGGAGGCCAAGGCAGGCCAATCACTTGAGGTCAGGAGTTCGAGACCAGCCTGGGAAACGTGTTGAAACCCTGTCTCTACTAAAAATACAAAAATTAGCTGGGTATGATGACACGTGCCTATCATCCCAGCTACTTGGAAGGCTGAGACAAGAGAATCACTTGAACCCAGGAAGCTGAGGCTGCATGAGATCATACCACTGCACTCCAGCCTGGGTGACAAGAGTGAGACTTCATCTTAAAAAAATAAGAAATTGAATAAATGAATGAATGAAACAGTAAACAAGACGGGAAGGGTCCCCGTTCTCATGGAGCTTACATTTTTGGTGCTAGGGAAATTGGGGAATGGAGCCTTTAGCCAATTAACAAGTAAATAAACAAGACCATGTCAGATCATGACAGTGACAGGAAGGAAATAAAATGGCGTAACTCAACAGGGATGGGGGAGGGGCATATCAGCTTGGCTGCTTTCCTAGAACCCCAATACCAGTGGCTTAGTTAAGAGGGGGGTTTCTGGCCAGGCACAGTGGCTCACGCCTGTAATCCCAGCACTTTTGAAGGCCGAGGTGGGTGGATCACAAGGGCAGTGGATCACGAGGTCAGGAGTTCAAGACTAGCCTGGCCAACTTGGTGAAACCCTCTCTCTAATAAAAATAGAAAAATTAGCCAGGCATGGTGGTACGTGCCTGTCATCCCAGCTATCTGGGAGGCTGAGGCAGAAGAATCACTTGAACCTGGGAGGCGGAGGTCACAGTGAGCCGAGATCATGCCACTGCACTGCAGCCTGGGCGACAGAGCGAGACTCCATCTCAAAGAAAAAAAAAAAAAAAAGAGGGAGGTTTCCCTCTTGCCAGCCTCTGGCTGGGGAGGTCAGGGCTGGCTCCCTACCCCTGTCTCAGTTCTAGCCTGAAGGAAGAGAACAAGGGTGTGGAAAGCAGGGCCCAAAATTAGCTGGGCGTGGTGGCAGGTGCCTGTAATCCCAGCTACTCCGAAGGCTGAGGCAGGAGAATAGCTTGAACCTCGGAGGCGGAGGTTGCATTGAGCTGAGATCACACCATTCCACTCCAGCCTGGGCAAAAAGAGTGAAAAAGAGTGAAACTCTGTCTCAAAAAAAAAAAGTTAAACACATCACTTCTATGAGTCACCAGCTACCCCAGCTCAAGGGAGGCCTGGGGATTTAGTCTCTCTCTGGACAGCCATGTACCCAGTTAGAACTGTGGGGGAGGGAGTGCCTCCTTTGGGTAAGGTGGTTGAGTGGTGACCTCGGTCTTGACTTTCTCTGCAGCAGCCAATTCCAAACAGCCGATTCACATGGTCTACGTCCCCTCCCACCTCTACCACATGCTCTTTGAGCTCTTCAAGGTGAGGAGGCCGGGAGCCGTGCTTTGTGGGGAGCACAGGTATGGCAGGCTCCTCCCATGCATCTCTTACCTCTGCCCCTCCGCAGAATGCTATGCGGGCGACTGTGGAAAGCCATGAGTCCAGCCTCGTTCTCCCACCCATCAAGGTCATGGTGGCCTTGGGCGAGGAAGATCTGTCCATCAAGGTATGTGACCCTTGACCTTGGGGACCAGGGAGCCGTCGTGGGGGCTTCCCTCCTGCCAAGAGACAGGCTCTCCTTCTCTCCTACATGGTGGGCAGATCCTGGGGGCGGGGAAAACCATGAGAGGGTCAGAGGTATTGGGCGGGGTGGGGAAACTGAGCTGTAGAGAATCTGACACGCCCCATCTCTCCCAGATGAGTGACCGAGGTGGGGGCGTTCCCTTGAGGAAGATCGAGCGACTCTTCAGCTATATGTACTCCACAGCGCCCACCCCTCAGCCTGGCACCGGGGGGACCCCGTTGGTGAGATGGCTGTACCCCAATCCCTCCCACCTCCTGAGAGGCCTCTCTCCTCCTCACTCACTTCCTTATCTCCAGGCTCATTCAGCCTCTGTGTAGCCGTTTGTGACAGTCACCTGTCTTGAATCTGGGGCCCGCGCCTCCCGCATGTCCCATCTGTACACATCTCACCTGTCGGATGTCTCTCTGTCACCTTTCCCCCCTCTTCCCTCTCCCCTGTAGCCCCAATCCCCAATTTCTACCTTTCTCTTGGTGTTGTCCAACTTGCCAGCACCCCCTGCTAGAGAACTTGAGACTCTAAGGAGCCGTGGGGCCTGCGCCAATGTCCTGGCCCCGGACTCCTCTGCCTGCCCAAGCCTCCTTCCTGCATTCCCTCATTCATCCCACACCCATTTCTTACCTCAGTGTCCCCTCCTGCATGTCCCCTCCCTTCTCCAGCTCTGGGACTCCCCACGCCCACCCACTGTGTGACCCCAGCTCCACACCCTTCCCTCCCTGCATCAGTCCCTGCAGCTCCAGAAGGCCCCTGCCAGCCTCATCCTCTCTGCCTTCCTGCCCCGCTGCAGGCTGGCTTTGGCTACGGGCTCCCCATTTCCCGCCTCTACGCCAAGTATTTCCAGGGAGACCTGCAGCTCTTCTCCATGGAAGGCTTTGGGACCGACGCTGTCATCTATCTCAAGGTGAGGGCCCGGCCTGCAGAGCCCAGCTGGGGAAGATGTTTGCTGATGGGAACTGGGCGGGCTTGGCTGGCTGTGAGCTTTCCTTCCCACCCTTCCAGTCCTTCCCCAGCCGCAGACCCTGGGAATCCAAGCAAAGCTACAGTCCTTCAACCTGAAGAACCCTCCACCCCAAGAGATACACAGCTTTAGGGGAGTCTGTGGTCCATGATTAAGACTCCTGTGCTGGGGACCCTCAACTTGTTAGACCCAGAAGGAAGGGGACACCCTAGGTCTTGTCATTCAGCTCAGAGGAGAAGACTGAGGCCCGGAGTCGGTGACTTGCTCAGGGTCACGCAGCCTAGCCTCCTCCCCTTCTCCCTCCCTCTCCCTCCCTTCAAGGGAGCTGCTTTCTGGAATGGGCAGGGGTGGGACACAGGAGGGACCACCTTTCGTGGATCTTTCCAGGCCCCCAGTTCTGGCAACTGGGCTGCTGCTGAGCTGGCGGGGGGAGGGTGGTCTGCTGGGGAGGGGGCTGACCCTGGCACTCCCCAGGCCCTGTCCACGGACTCAGTGGAGCGCCTGCCCGTCTACAACAAGTCAGCCTGGCGCCACTACCAGACCATCCAGGAGGCCGGTGACTGGTGTGTGCCCAGCACCGAGCCCAAGAACACGTCCACGTACCGCGTCAGCTAAGGGCCGCGTGCATCTGCGCCTGAGAGGACGGACCAGCCACCGTGGTGCCCCTCCCCATCTTCCTGGGGTAGCAGGGGGTGGGTTCTCCATGATGACCAGGCTCTGTCTCTATGGAAGTCACTGTGGTGATATCTTTCATGGTCCCTAAGTGCCAGTCCATCTCTGTGGAGACCCCTTGGTGGCCTCCCCATCTCTGTGGGTGATGCCTGAGGGTTGGGGATATCGCCACCCTGATGGGGTATCCCAGAGACATTTTCCCATGGCAGTCCTCCTCTCTGAGGTCAGGGCTGTCACTTTTCTGCCAGGGGTCCACACCCTCCGCAGCCCAGGCCTTCTAAGTGGATGCCCTGTTGGCCTTACTCCCCCAGCCCACAAAGGAACCATGGCCTTGGCCTGTTGAAGTGTTAGGAAGAGGCAGGGTGCCCTCCAGACCTGGGGACTGAGTGGGGAAAGGGGTTGCACCCGTGAGTGGGGAATGAGGCTTATCCTGCAGCCTCTCCCTCCACTTGGGGCTTTAAGGTCAAGGTTGGTGGGGGAGGGGTGGTTCTAACAGGGTCCACCCCTAAAGTGGAGGAACCTTGTGAGACCCAGAGGTTGCCACCCAGAAGCTGCTTGAGGCCCTGCAGCGGCCTTGGCAATGTTTGTGCCAGTTCCCGAGCCCTCCCAGCATGTCCTCACATGCCCCTGCCCACCCACCCTCCACAAACCCAGTCCCACCTGAGCCCCAGCCCGCAGCCCCCACTGTGCCCAGACACGTGTGCTCAGGGTGGCTTTCGTCCTAGGACCTCTGTGTATACAGCTAGTTTTATAACCCTGAATGCCCCCACCCTTCCCCTTAGCACACGGGGGTTAAAGCTGTGTGTTGTGTCCCTCCCAGTGGCTGTGGCAGTGACACCCACACCCCCAGTAAAGAAGAAACTGACTGAGACTGGCCTGGCTGCATCTCTGGGGGAGAGGGCCCCACACTTGCGCGCACACACACACTGCAGTGCCCTGTGACCACCACACGATGCACTTGGGATGTCCGACCCAGCTCAGGACTGTGAGTAAAACACTGGGCTGGCCGGGCGCGGTGGCTCAAGCCTGTAATCCCAGCACTTTGGGAGGCCGAGGCGGGTGGATCACGAGGTCAAGAGATCAAGACCATCCTGGTCAACATGGTGAAACCCCGTCTCTACTAAAACTACAAAAAATTAGCTGGACATGGTGGCGCGTGCCTGTAGTCCCAGCTACTCAGGAGGCTGAGGCAGGAGAATTGCCTGAACCCAGGAGGCGGAGGTTGCGGTGAGCCGAGATTGCGCCATTGCACTCCAGCCTGGGTAACAAGAGCGAAACTCCGTCTAAAAACAAAACAAAACAAAAAAAAACACTGGGCAAAGCCATCCGTTCAGAGCTCTGGATGGTCCAGCACCTGGTGACAGACCTGTTGTCTCACCACACTCAGGGACTAGCACAGTCAGACCAACCCAACAACTGGAGCAGATAGAAATTCTGGTCACTGGCACGTCGTATTTATTGAAATAAATTGAGAACTGCCTCCCCTTCACATGCAGGTGGGCACCCACTATAGCTACTGATGGCTTTAAGGACGTGGGTGCCTCCCAACCTCCCATGGCCCCGCCACCAGGCCCAGATGGTGCCAGTGTCCTTTTATCTGTTTCCCTCTGAAGCCCCTCTCCCAGCACAGATCGCAGAGGGGGAATAGGGGCAGAGTCCCAGGTACAGGGTGCTGGCCGTCAGCCTCGGCCCCTGGCAGGAATGAGGGAGCCAGCATGCATTGGTGCCATCTGCCGCTCCGGGCAGATGGGAGGAGCTGGAGGGGGTTCTAACCAGGAGCCCCTGGCCCCATTGGTAACTCTGAGCAGTGTCCTGGAAGCAGGGCTAGCTGCTGACCAGCGCCACACATGGACACTTCCTCCAAGGACATTTCCTAAAAAGGACACATGCTGTCACCAGGCTGCTGGCAGACTCCAGCCCCATCCAGGGAGCTGGCCCCAGCCCTCGGTGTGGCCCAGCAAAGCAGAGCTTGCACCGCTTGCTGGTTCTGAGCCCACTGATTCCCTGACAATGTGGGGGGCAGATAGGGGAGGGCTGATGAACCTTTCCAAACTGGCAGCTGCCAGGGACCCCCAGGTTTTGCCTCTCTGCCTGGCTGGGGTGAGGGTTGACCAGGTCGGCAGCTCCTAGGCCTTGGCTGGTGGGAGTGGTATCCTCTGTCCCCATCAGCTCCTGTTTGCTCAGCTCCCAAAGAGGGCTCAGGTGCCCTCTGAGGAAGCAGCAGGAAGCGAAGGGTGTCCTGGCTGGGTCAAAGACCGGGTCTTGAGTGGACCCCGAGAGGCAGACCTGTGTGGTCTGTGGGGTCATCTCACCCCCTGGAACCCACAGGACAGAGGAGGGGAGAGGGAGAAGGGGGTGTGCATCCTCCCTTCTCGAGTCCTGGCAAAGACTGCACTGATCACAGGCCGCTTTCTCTGCTCTCCTGTTGGAGTTTGGCTGAGGATCTACCCTGAGTGCGACTTGCTGCAGCGCCCACTGGCCTCTCTGGGGAGCAGGACTGAGCTCTCCCACCACACAGCTGCCTGGAAGAGTGGAGAGGAGCAGCCCCAACTCCTGCTCCTGCCGAAATGCCTGGCCTAGCTCTGGGCCTTGGGGCCCGCCCATCATCTTTGGGAGTCTGGCAGGCAAGCAGGCAGGCCAGCCTCCTAGCTCCCCTCCACCCCTGCCCCATGATGGCCTGAGGGCAGTGGGACAGCCTGACCCAGGCTCCCAGACTTGCCTCAGCCCTGGCCTCTCTGCCCTCTCCCCTTCATCTGCTCCTCCCCCAGGAACTCTGTGCCAAACAAGTCCTCAAAATGGGATTTATTACTAGCCCCTCTCCCTGGGGTCTCCCTTTCTGGGGGCTCTGGGTCCAGACCAAGTGACAAGGTGAGAGAGGGTGTGTCCCCCCAAGAGCGTGGGACCAGGCTAGCCCAAGCGCGGCGCCCAGGCCCAGCCTCCCTGGTAAGGCCTGTGCCCGCCGAGCCAGCGGCCGCCCCTGCCGGGCACCAGCCCTGTGCACGCTCCCCTAGCTCTTTTTGGCCTCCTGCTCTCTGCGCCGGAGCTTCTCCCGCTGCCGCGCAGCCTTCTCCTGAGCCTTGCGCTCCTTCTCCGCAGCCGCTGCCAGCTCCTTCAACTTCCGCTTCACCAGCGCCCGGTCATGAGAGTTGCTGAGCCCCAGGCTCTGGAGAGGAGTCCGGGGTGAGGGAGAGAGCCCCGGAACCATCCCGGTCCTGGCCCCACACCCAGGGTCCTTTTGCCCCAGGTACACTCTGTGGAGCTCTGAATCCTCCCTGAAGAGGAGCCTCCTCTCCCCACACCGTGACCTGCCCATGGATCGGAACCCCCAGAGCAAGAATTTGGAACGAGTGTGGTTGGGAGAGATGAGGGTTGAGGATATCAGGTGCTTTGCCCTCCCCCCACCATTCTTCCACTCAGGATTTCAGCCTTGGCCTGGCCCTGCCCAACCTCCTGAGGCCCAGAGATGGAAAGTCACTTGCCCAAGGTCACACAGCTAGTCAGTGGCCAAAGACCCTCCTCATTTCCAGAGACTTCCTGGGGACTTTTCTCACCATCCCTGCCCCAAGCAACTCAACAGAGAGCAGGAGACAGGCCGGGAACCTCCCAGCATAGAGGTCAGAGGCCACCCACCCCCTTCCAGCTTCCTCCCCCTGCCTACCACTACCACTAGCCTCTGAGACAGAATCAAGCCAAGCTGACCAGGGGGAGACGCATGGCTTCCCATGATACTAGGGAACTCATGTGCATCAAAGGTCATCCTAGAGGGCAAGGTCAGCCTGGAGACCAGGGCTGGAGCTTGAAGGTCACACTCAAGTCATGGGCTTGAGTTTCAAGTCAAACTACAACACAAAGGTTAGACCAAGGACCTTGCCTAGAGGTCAGATGTCAGGGTAGTGGCCACAGATGGAGTGAAAAGGCCAGCCTAGGAGGCTGGGCTGAGGGTCAAAGGTCAGAAGGAGGGGCTTCCAATACTTGAACATTGCCTCAAGTAACTAACTGGGCTGGGTCATGGCCCTTCCACTCTGACCCACCTTCAGTTTGCTTCCGTCCAGCTGCAGTAGCTGCGGCCCGTCTACCTGCCGGGCAGCAAACTCGGTGGCATACTGCTCCAGGTTGAGGCTCTGCAGCCACTGGCCCACCTGCTGGCTGGTCCAATGGTGGACGGGGGGAAGGGGCTCATCCAGGAACTGGGCAGAGACCAAGGAGTGAGGGGGAGGCTTGGCCTGTGACCTGAGCACTTTGCAGAGTCAGAGGTCAGGACTCCATGGGCGCCCTGGGCCAGCCTTGCTCACCTCATCCGAAGACTGAGACAGCGTGTGGTAGGGATAAGAACATTTGGCTTCCTGCCGGGGCCCACTCGGTATCTTGGGGCTGCTGCTGGGGGGTGTGGAGTCATCACTCAGGGTTGATTCCTAGACAGAAGCAAGTGTATGCCACTGAGGACAGAGCTCACCCCCAACCCACCATACCTATCTGGGTGGAGCTGAAGTCCTGGACTGGGCACCAGGAGTTGCTCTGTGCCCTGTGTGCATGAGCCAGGAGCTGGGCCTGCACACAGGACATGGTAACTCATGTCAGGCATTAGAACCTGAAGCCTCTGGGAAGGCAGGCAGCCATCTGGAGGACATGGGGCTCGAACCAAGCCAGGTTAGTAGGAATGGAGGAGGTCTCAGGCAAGGTGTCACTTCCTACAGGCAGCCCACGAGGATTCCCCCAGGTTGGATCAGGCATCTCTGCTATGTGTCTCCTGCCCAGCCTCTAGCACTCCAGCTAATAAGTGCTTGATTAGAGGTCTTTATCCTCATTGGACTGTGAGTTTTAGGAGGCCCTGGGGTGTATCTTGTTCACCATGGTGTCCCCAGTGCCCAGCATAAGGGAAGGAAGGAAGGGAGGGAAGAAAGAAGGAAGTTCCAGGTCCAAAGGGATTCTTTCTCTCTCGAGTTCCCAGCTTCTGATTTTCTCCTCTGCCCGGCTGCACGTAAGAAACAGAACCATAGAACAAGCACTAGGCTGGGGGTCATAGAGCTTGGCACCTAAATCTGTGCCAGTCTGTGGACAAGCCCCTTCTCTCTGGGCTGTCCTTTGCTCATCTGTGCAATGTTGATGAGTGTGCCTTTCCTCCCTACTTCACTGAGCCTCTGTGAGAGTAAAGCAGAATGTGTTTCGGGCTTTGTAAACTGCAGAGGGCTCTCTGAACATACGCAGATGCTCATCATCGCTTCTCTTACTTGTTCTCACGTCACACGGTTGTAAGCTTTCGGAGCACTAGGTTGGGGTCCTGTTCGTCTCTATATCCCCCAAGCCTCACCCTACCAAGCAGGTGGCCCAGCTCCTCACACAGGAGTGGGCTTAGAGCTGAGCCAGGCAGAAGAGTTAGCAGGAATGAAGGAAGTCTCCGGCTGGGTGAACAGTAGGGAATCATGTGTTCAGTGATTTGTTGAATGCGTGAAGCAGTGACTGCATCAAGGAATGAACTACTCAGAATATGAAGTAGTGGATGAGTGAATGAATGAATTCAGAGAATGCATGAAGTAATGGATCACCGCGTGGCTCCATGGATGGACAAATTGATTCCAGGAATGTCTGAATCCCAGCCTGAGCCAGGGTGAAGTACTCCCTCATGTCACCTAAGACTGGGGGTCAGTTTGGGGACAAAAAAGGCATGGACTTACCTGGGAAGCTGACTTCTTGGGGCTGAAGCCCTCGTGTTTAGGGGAGCAGGCAGGGGAGGTGGTGCTACCCGAGGATGCTGACCCCTTGCCACTGTCTGTGAACCAGGAAAAAGGCAGGAACGGGGAGCCCCCTGACCTGCTGGAGCCCTCCACTGATTCCCTGCAGAGAGAGTGTCCAGCATGGGTGTGGGTACAGAGGGGAGGACTGGGGCACACGGGGAGCCAGGGGTGGGAGCTGTGGGTGGGCCACCGTGGGCACCTCTCACCTGCTGCCCATGGACAGGCGGTTGCTGCCTTTCTCCTTCCGGCTCTTGCCCGTGGATGCTCGGCGCAGGGTGACCCTGTGGGGAGGCAGCGAGGAGTGGGGCAGGGCTGCCCACTGTGCCACCCTTAACACAGCAGCTCCAAGCCCTGTGATCTAGCCCCGCCTCCACTCACCCCAGGTCCAGGAACTTTCGCCGAGTCTTCTTATCCAGGCCGATGGTGGGGCTGGCAGGCTCAGGAGGACTGGCATCACGGCTGTCATCTATCCAGGGAGAGAAGGAAGAAAATTGCCCATTTGGTGGCCGGCCTGCCTCCTTTGGCTGCTGGTGTGGGGTGGTGGAAATTCTCTTGACTTAGAATCAGGCAGCATGGCTCTTGTGCCCTTAAATAGAGGGTGTCCTAGGACAGGACATTTTACCTCTCTGGGCTTCCTCCATTTTAAATATGGGATAATAACATCTGCCTACTTAACGGCACCTAATGGGATGCTTACGACAGTCTTTTACAAACTGTAAAATGTTTCAAACAGATAGGGACCACTACTATTTAACTCAATTTGATCCTAGCCAACTTCTAGCCAGCCTTCCAATCTTGGCTCAAATGTCATTTCCAGGATGTTCTCAGCCAGGCCAGGCATCCTGGTGTATGCCCTCCCGCGACGCCGCTGCACACTTCCCAGATAACACTTATTACAGTCTGAAACTACACATTCAATTAAAGGATGATTTGATTGGGGTTTTGTTTTGTTTCTGAGGCAAGGAGTGATAGCTCACTGGAGCTCAGAACTCCTGGGCTCAAGCTATCCTCCCACCTAGGCCTCCCAAGGTGCTGGGATTACAGGCGTGAGCTGCAGAGCCAGGCCTGATTTGACGGTTTCTGCCCTAAACGGTGATGATAAAGACTGCATATGTTTGCTCACCTGGGTGTCTCAGAGCCCACAGGGTCTGGCACTTAGTGGGCGCTGGGTAAAGAATGACTTGAGCCGCGAGGTTTACTCTCCACCTCCCCCAGGCACCCTGCCCAGCTGCTCCACGCGGCTTCGTTGCGTGCTGGGACCGGGAGGGCCGCTGCGCCCGGGAACTACCAGCAGAGGGTGCGGCGCCGGCTGTAACTCACCTTCGCTGTGCGGCTCTGCGCGGCGCGGGTGGCGGCGCACGAAGCTGGGGGAGCTGTCGGAGGAGGGCGCGGAGCGCGGCGGCGAGCAGGAGGCGGCAGCCAGGCCTTCGTGCGAGGCAGCGTTGTGCAGGGGCCGGTAGCGTGTGAGCGGCGAGGGCGGCGGCTCGTCCTCTTCCAGGCTGCGCCGCAGCCCGGGAGGATCCAGGCAGAAAGAGCCCCCGGCCGGGGACCCCGGGCCTGCGTGCAAAGGCGAGCGCAGCCGGTGCAGGGGGCTCCCGCAGCCGTCGGTCACCTGCAGGAGACGGCAGCCGCTCACCCGAGAACCCTCCTCCACCCTTCCCGGAGGAGCTGGGAGACTTTCACCCCAAAAAGTGAGGGCCCCCGAGGGTCCTTCCGGGGCCTAGAGGGAGGGTTTCCTCAAGCCTTAGGCAGCGGGGTGGCTGGACAGTGAGAGGTGGGAAACACGAACTCTGAGTTACACGGCTGGGGCTGAATTCCCCCTCCTCCACGTACTGTGACTTTGCTACAGGACCTCTCAGGGCCTCAGTTTCCTCAGCTGTAAGATGGGGCTAATATCTTCTTTACAAAGGATTAAATTAGCCAGAAGCGAACTGCAGCTAACACTTAACGTGACTAGGTCAGAAGTCTGAGGGTGTGGTTTCCCTGGAACAGCGCTTGAGAGATTATCCAGCAGCCAGAAGAGTGGGAGGAGCGCGAGGGTGTAGGTGTATTTTCCTAACTTGCCCCAACCTTGCCTCCAGGCCCATCGGAGCCTTCACCATCCTCCGCGGAGCTGGCACTGTCCCGAAGCCTGGAGCGGGACGGCCGGTGTCTCCGGCCCTTGGCCAGCAGCTGGGCCCGGGCCTTGTGTAAACTGCTGTCCAGTCTGGCGGTCTCTGGCACAGCCAAGTCCAGGTCTGCGAACCGGGGGATGGGGGCAGAGACCAGACACATGAGAGGTGACCGCAAGCCCAGAGGCCCACCTCAAGGGACCACCTGCCCCCACACCCCAGGCATTCAACCAATGTTCCCAAGTGCTGGGAGTACAGACAGATGAAAAACAGGGTGTCTCCCTGTCTCAGGTGGGAGTGGGTGGGTGTGCCAGTGAAGCAGACATGCCAGCACTTAAATACAGCACCCTGTGATGAACCCTCACGTAGACACAGAGGACCGGGCAGCCCTGTCTGGATACATCAGAGGAGGAAACACCAAAGCTGGGTTTTAAGGTCTGGGTAGGAGTTGTAAGTGATGAGGTGGGCAAAACAGGTATATGCAATGCTAGCAAGTAGGGAAGCAAGGGTGGTACCTCCTGGGACAGTTGGAGGGTAGCTTTGTGGAGAGAAGAGTTGGGGATGAGGCTGGAGAGACGATGGAAATAATGACTACGATTTAAGAAGCACTTACTACGTACCAGGTAATGTACACACATCATCTCTCAAGCCAAGCAACCCAGTGGGGTTAGGACAGTTCCTATGCACACTTTACAGCTGAGCAAACTAAAAATCAAAGAGGTTAAGTCACTTGACTAAAGCCGCCAGCTAGCAATGTTCAGGGATTTGGGCCTGGCTAGTCTGGCTCTAGAGACTGGCCCTACTGGGGACACTGGCTGGCTATGCCACGCACAGGGTCTCACTCAGAGATAGCACTGCTGAGCATCTAAAGGACGTGCAGTTGGAGTGGAGCAAACCCCCTCAACACCCCAGAATCCAGTAGCAGTGACAGGAAGGAAAGCCCCATAGGCCCCTGAAACCTCTCTCCTGTCCTGGGTCTGTGGCCAGGCCTAGGTCTAGCATGAGGACACGGAGGAAGAGTAGGCAAACCCAAAGCGTCAAGCACAAAAATCCTTATTGCCCATGGCACCACTTTTCATGTGCTGCACCTCAGGATGAAGCCCTCATGCTGTACCAGTCCTGAGCTTGGCACTGGGGTCTCCAAACAGAAAGGATCTTTCCAGGCTTCGAGATGGGTCAAGACCATTCTTCCCCACTCCACCCAACATGATCTCAGGGATCCTGTTCCATCACTCATGCCCACCCTGCCTTTCCTGCTCCTCTTTTCCGTCTCCAGACAACCCCTAAGCCACCCCAGTTGCTCTCCTGGCTTAACTACCACTTATTTCTATTTCCAGCCTTGACCCCCTCCCCTGAATTCCAAGTGTGGGCACGCAGGCACCTGCCAGGGAAGTGACCATGTCAAAGGCCCCAAGGCATCTCAAGCTCAACTCATCAAAATGAACCTATCCTGTAGCTTCAAACCAACTTCTCCACTCTTCCTTGACTCAGTGAAAAGCCCCCTTGTCCACCCAAGTCAGACAGCCCTAAGCCACCCTTCTCTCTCAGCCCCAGACCCAGTTGGTAATTCATGTGTCCAACTGTCTAGTGACACTTCCACTTTGAACGTCCACCAGGGGTCTTCACCTACATGCACTGCAACCTCCTCATCTCTCCCGCCCTGGCGCTCCTCCTTCCAGTCCTGGTGAACAGCAGCTCCATCCTTCTAGTTGCTCAGCTGAACCCCTGGAGTCATTCTTGACTGCTTCCCCTACCATCCTACAAACAGATTCATTCACAATCCCGTTAGCTCTACTTTCAAAAGCTAGCTAGACATACTGAAATATTTACGGTGAAGGGATGTGATGTTTTGGACTAGGTTCCATGTAATCCAGGGCAACAGGGGTAGGGCATGGATGGGGCTAGACATGAAACTAGACTGGCCGTGACTGGTCGCGGCTGAGGCTGCGTGATGAGTTCTTGAGTGCATGCTAGAGTACACTGCACTGTTCTAATTTTGAATCTCTGAGATTTTCCACAATAAGTTGTTTGGTGTTCGAATGTATATGTATACTCCTATACATGCGTACATATGGAGAGAAAGGGAGGAGTGGAGAGGAAAGGAGAGAAGGAGGGGAAAGGACGGAGGGCAAGGAGGGAAGTGAGAGGGAGAAGTGCTCACAGCCTCTCTGGTCTAAGCCGTCATCACCTCTTGGCCTGGATTATTACAAAAAGCCTCCTAGCTGGTCTTCCTTCCACCTCCCATTCCCATCTACGGTCTATTTGCAACACAGCAGCCAGAGTGGTCCTGATCAAACATGTCAGTTTGTATCACTCTCTCGCTCAGAACCCTCCAGTGACTTCCATCTCACACAGATTAAGAGCCAAAGTTCTCCCAGTGAGTGGCCTTGCAGAGTCAGCCTGTGCTCCCTTGCCTCTCTGAGCACGACTCTTGTCCCTCCACTCCAGCCACGCTGGCCACCTGGCTTATCCTCACACAAGCCAGCCTGCACTGCACAGCCTTTGCACTGCCCCTGCCTTTGCACTGCCTCTGCCCTTTTTCTGAAAGGCTCTTTCTGCAGATTTCTGCATGGTTCTCTCCCTCACTTCCTTCAAGTCTTTGCTTAAATGCTTTCTCTCACTGAGACCTTCCCAGACCACCCAATTTATAATAGCCTCCCCCCAAAACCCCACTCCTGTTTTTTTCCTATAACGTTTCTCATTCTCTGGGGTGCTATATATTTTGCTTATATCATTTATTGTCTCTCTCCACCCATTAGAATGTCAGCTCCATGAAGACAGGTTTCTGTTTTGTTCACTGCTCTACCACAGGCAGACAACAGTGCCTGGCACACAGTAGGTGCTCAGCACACTCTTTTAATGAAAGAAAAAAGTTTTGTTGATTGGCCTCCTCACACCCACAGAAGCTGGGTTCTCCTCTCCCTCTGGACCAAACTGCCTTAGCTCAGATCTTCACCTGAGTGGAGGGGAGCTGTCCTCTCTTCCCACCCCCTGCCACCCCAAAACATGGAACCATCCAACCTTTGCTCCCTGCCTCGTGGGAGGCTCTGCCTCATGCCTTCCATGTGACTAGAAGAAACTTTCTGATGCACATTTTTTCTCTTTCTTTTCTTTCTTTCTCTTTCCCTCTCTCTCCCTCTTTCTTTCGCAGAATCATGCTGTCACCCAGGCTGGAGTGAGTGGCATGATCTTAGCTCACTGCAACCTCCAACTCCCAGCCTCAAGCGATTCTCCTCTCTCAGCCTCCTGAATAGCTGGGACTACAGGTGTGCGCCACCACCATACCTGGTTAATTTTTGTGTTTTTTTTTTTTTAGTAGAGATGGGGTTTTGCCACATTGGCCAGGCTGGTCTTGAACTCCTGACCTCAAGTGATCTGCCCACCTCAGCTTCCCAAAGTGCTGGGATTATAGATGTGAGACACCGTGCTCCGCCTGAAGCACATTTCTGACCATGTCCCATACTCTCCTGCTTCGGAAACTCTCGCAGAAAGAGTCCTAAAGCTAACAATATAAATTCCATGCTACTCAGCCCTCTATTCAAGGCCTGAGGGGTCCAGCCCACCCTTTCTGTGTTCCCCACAGAGTCCTCCTCTTGTATGACTATGGCTAAGAGCACTGCCCCTGGAGTCCAATGGCCCAGGCTGAAGCCAGTTCTGTCACTTGCTGGCTAAGTGACTCTGGGCAAGTTACTTCCTTTTAGGTGTCAGCTTTCCCATGTGTAAAATGGGATACACTAGCACTATCTTCCTTATAGGGGGGTTGTGAGCATTAAATAAAATAATCCAAAGACAGTGCTCACCATAATGCTATGACTTAGCACGAGCTCAACAGGCTGTCACTGGTCATGGCGTCTGTGGGATCAAATGAATTGCTTATACTGATACCTGTATGTGTATCTGCCTCCACCTCACTTCCCACCTCCATCTCTGTGCTCCATCTCTCTCCAGCCCTTCTTTGTCTGGCTGATCAACTCTGCCACATCACCCTCTGGCAGCCGTACCCCACTACCATATGGTCATGATACGGTCCGGATATGGTCGTCAATGACTGTCTCCTCCTGCTGGCCTACATGCTGCAGAGGGTGAAGCCCTTCCCTGTCCACTGTATATCATGAGACCCTGGTGCAGCAGCTGGCAGGTAGGCGGTGCTCAGGTAGTGTTGAAGCAAAGTCACCCTTCCATGGAGCAGTGCATGCTTTGGCGGAGACAGACTCCAGACACACTTGGGTGCTGATGAAGGTCACCTGCACGCAGAAGTCACATCCCATCATGCCCACATTTCAATCCTCTGCCAAGCACTCCCCACCATCTAGTCTGTTCCCTGTTTATTTATGTGTGCTTTGATATCTGTCCCCCTGCTTGCCCCTGCACGAGAATTCGCGCTCCATGAAGGCAGTGATTTTGTCTGGCTGGTTCATTGCTGTCTCCCCAGAGCCAAGAACAGAGCCTGATGCATATTAGGAGCTCTATAAATATTTGTCAAGGCCAGGCATGGTGACTCATGCCTGTAATCCCAGCACTTTGGGAGGCTGAGGCAGGTGAATCAGCTGGGGTCAGGAGTTCGAGACCAGCCTGACTAACATGGTGAAACCCTGCTTCTACTAAAAATACAAAATTAGCTGGGTGCGGTGGTGCATGCCTGTCATCCCAGCTACTCTGGAGGCTGAGGCAGGATAATTGCTAGAACCCAGGAGGTGGAGGTTGCAGTGAGCCAAGATCGTGCCATTGCACTCCAGCCTGGGCAAGAAGAGCAAAACTCGATATCAAAAATAAATAAATAAATAAATGAATATTTGTCAAATGGATGAAAAGATGGGGGATACTGGGAGGCTACTACTTTAAATGTAGCAGTCAGGCTGAGGTCCGGGAAGCCATAAAGAGCCGAGGTCCATAGAAAGAACAAGAAAGAGTTTTCTAAGGAGAGGGACTGGCACAGCCTTGGACTTGGAGTGCCTAGGGAGCAGCAAGGGACCAGCACAAGCTGTGAGGGGACAGGAAGGGACTGGTTGAAGGGGGAGGGTGGACACAGGGGGCAACCTGTGGGTGTTTCCAGCCCCTCGGGCTGAGCTGGGGGAGGGTGCCCTCTGTTCCCAGCCCCCTCGCATAGAATCTCCAGGCACTGTCTGGAAGCAGCAAGGATTGAAGGTCGAACCACAGAAAAGTAAGAGCTAATCCTTATTGAGCTCTTGCTGTGCTAGGCACTGTTCTAAGTGCTTCACAATTACTAGCTCATTTGAGCCTCCCCACAGCCCTATGAGGAAGGAACTCCAAGAATCCCCAGGGCAGCCTTCATTTGCCCCACAGCATAAAGCCGGTGAGAAGCCGGCCAGGGTTACAGACAGGTGGTCTAGCTCTGTTGGTAAGCATTAAGCATGCTACAACCTCTCTGAAGCAGAGATGGGAAGGAATTTTGAGTCCAACCTCATTGTATGGACGGGAAAACAGGCTCACAGAGGACAGGAGGACACGTTTGGCTGAGGGTACAGAGGGAGTTAAGGAGAGCGGCTCCCAGGCCAGTGCTCAGGCACCTAGCTGGTGCCCAACCAACTCAAAACAGGGAGAAGGGCTCCTTGCTCCGGACTCTGGGCCACATCGGCACCATGGCCATCTTACCTTGGAGGGGCTGGGGAACAAGGGGATGCCTAAGGGGCTCGGTGGTTTTCAGGCAAGGTGTGGCCAGCCTGTCCTGGGTCCTCTGCTCTGCGAAGCTCTCCCTACAGCTTCTTCTATCTCTTCCCTTCTTCTCTGCTCCTGCCTTCCTTCCCTAGCTCCTCCCCCATCTCTCTCCCTCTTCCTCCTCCTCCCAGCCCTGGGCAGTGGGAATTCATAAATATTTAATGGCCTTTCACAACAGGAAGCTGGGAGGACCCGGCTACCTCTGCAGTGAGGAAAACAGGCAGGAGTTGGGTGGGGAGGCCAGGGTAGGGAGGTGGGGGAGTAGGGGCAGAAAACCCAGGGAAGTGAGGGCTCATCTCCGTCAGGGCTGTGTGGAGACAGACTCAGAGACTATGGCCCTGAGGCAGTTCAAGGCTAGGGGAGCAGAGGAGACTGGGACGGGAAGCGAAGCCGCAGTTCCTGGCATGGCTGGGGGAGAGAGGGAAGAAGGGAGAGATGCGGAGAAGGCAGGCAGGAGAGGAGAAACTGGGGGCCCTCTGGCATAGGAGCCCCTCAAAGTGCAGGCAGCTCTCCCCGTCTCCCTCATTTCTCCAAGTTCCTTTGCTCACCGACTCCTGACTCCTCCACCGGAATCCAGCTGGGAAACCGGCTTTCCGCCCCAGTGCATGCTGGGAACACTGCCCAGCTGGGGTGGTCTCTTTCTCCAATCCACACAACAGAAGACTGCAGGGGGTAAATGATGGTACCGTGGCGTGGGCATGCACCCCAGTGTGTACTGAGGACGTGGGCGTGCAGGCCAGCGTGAGGGGGCCAGCCTGGGGATACGGAAGCTATGTGTGTTAGGCATTTCATTTCAGCACACAGCCAGGCAGGGTGAGGTCCCTTGCACTTATTTATGTGACTTGGAGGTGATGTGTGTCATCTGGGCTGGAATGTACAGGTAGGTGTACAGGATCATGACTAAGAGCAGGAAGGCAGGCAGTCTGGGGTTCTAGACCCAGTTCTGCCACTAACTTGCTATGTGATCTTGAAAGCAAGTCACTTTAGCCCTCGGTACCGTTCACTCCTGGTCTGTAAACTGGGCTGACTTCTAAGCGTTATTGTAAGGGTTAACTAACACAGTGCATGGGAGATGGGAGTGCTTAACCTAGTATCTGGCATAAGCACTTAATAAATGAGGACCTTTATTGTTATCCCTGGTGCGTCCAGTAAGACAGTGGTGACAAAGGGTCAGGCCACAAAACACACACACACACTCACACACACACGCCGCCAAGAACCCCCTTATACCCTTCAATGCCTAGTGGCCCAGGAAGGAAGTACTCCATGGCTGTGCCTATTGACTAGAGATAGAACCACACAGAACTTACCAAAAACCTCATCCGCGGGTTCTCGGAGCTTTGAAGAAGCCATGACTCAAGACAGCTGGAGAGGACAAGAGGGTAGAGAGAGAGAAAAAGAGAGCCTGAATAAGAGATTAAAACTAGCTGAGGCAGGGGAGATGCCGAAGGCTACCTGCTCCAGGCTTGCTGGCCCTTCCCCTTACCTTAGAACACTTCCTCTGGCCCAGAAGCCACTGGAATCATAACCCAGATTGTGGGCACGGGGGCAGGAGGCAAAGTAGGAGGGTGGGGGCAGACGCAAATCCAAGGCACGGACACAGGCGGAGCCCTGTGGTCCTGGTACACTGATTGGCTGTGTGGCTTCATGGGGGTCACTGAACCTCTCCCCTTCACTGTTTTGGGGCTTTACATCATTAGCACCCCCTAAACACTTTCAGTTATCATCAACTGTGCAATCAAATCTGGGAGAAGGCATGGAGATTATTGAATCCAATCCTCTCATGTTACAAATGAAAATACAGAAGGGGGAGTGACTGGCCCAAGATCACATAGCAAGTTAATGGCAAAATCAGGACCAGGACCAGGTTCTCCCATCCATCTACCTACCTATGCATTCATCCATCCATCTACCTGCCTACTCATCATCTGTTCACTCACCCATCTATCTACCCATCCACTGATCCAACATCTGCCCCCATCCACCCAACATCTGCTGCCATCTGTCCATCCACCCATCTTTGCATCCATCAGTTTCCATCTCTTTTCCACTCCTGCCTCCCTACTCCCTATACCCCCATCACTGGTGCCCTCACCACCTGCCTTTCTGAACATGAGCTGTTCAGGAAGCTGGCACCATCAGCAGGGCCACTGTTCCAGACACAGTTCTAACAGTTCTTGACAGACTCACAGATGTAGGAGGGTATAAGGAGTACACACAGCATACAGTGGACAGCCAAACCTCTATGATGCATCAAGTATGTTCTCGGAAGAAGTGTGAATGGGTAGGGTTTTTTTGTTTTAGTTCAAAGTTTTTTGGTGGGAAGCAAGAAGGGAGGGCAGACAGGGAAAGATACATGCAGCTGAAACCATTTGAATAGGCTTTCAAGCAGCTGTAGGATTCCAGTAGCCCTGGGGAGACCACTGGCCAGGGGATACTGGATGAGGGGAGAGTGAGGAAGCTCAGGGGCCATTGGTGGCTTAGGGAAAGGGGAGGCTGCATGGCTGAGACATGACCTCCAATTACTTCTAACACTCAGGTCCCCAGGAGAATGGCAAGGCACTGGGCTAGATCATACATGTGTCAGATATAGGAAGGCTGGGCCACATGCCTGCTGGGGTCTTTTCCAACTCTTCTCTTCTGTTATTACATAGACATCATCTACCTGCACTCTGGCCGGGCTTGGGAATTTTCATATCCCCACTTTACAGATGTGAAAACGAAGAAACAGGAGATGAGAGGCAGAACTAAAGCCAGGCAAATGCTTATAATCCTAGCTACTCAGAAGGCGAAGCTGGGAGGATCTCTTGAGCCCAGGAGTTCTAGACAAGCCTGCACAATATAGTGAGATCCTCATCTCAGAAATAAGTAAGTAGCTGGGCATGGTGGCTCACGCCTGTAACCCTAGCACTTTGGGAGGCTGAGGCGGGCAGATCAACTGAGGTCAGGAGTTCGAGACCAGCCTGGCCAACATGGTGAAACCCAGTTTCTATTAAAAATGCAAAAAATAGCTGGTTGTGGTGGTGCAGGCCTGTAATCCCAGCTACTGAGGAGGCTAAGTCAGGAGAATCACTTGAACCTGGGAGGTAGAGGTTGTGGTGAGCTGAGATCATGCCATTGCACTCTAGCCTGGGCGACAAGAGTGAAACTCCATCTCAAAAAAATAAATAAATAAAGGTAACTAACTAACTAAATAAAAGCAAAAAAATAAGAGGCAGAACTCCACCTTGAGCCAGGGCTCCTGCCCCTCTGCACTTTCCTAGGTGATGATCTTCAGTTTTGGGGTGGGGGAAGGGATAAGTGTAAAGGGAGGGAAGTTGCTCCACACTGACCAGGACTGGGAGAAGCATCAAAACCACCTCCAGATTCCATAAATGGCTGGGGCTGAAAGCAGAATATGAGGTGTGGGAAGGGGCCATCAGGAAAGTAGATCCTCCAAGAACCCTCCTGCCATTCTTGAGCTCCAGGGGCTACCAGCAAAGATCTAGAATGTGTTTCTTCCTGTCCTGACAGGCCAGATGGGAAGGGAGGCTGACCCTAAGAATAAACCACATTTCCTCATTCAACCACAAAGCCTTATCTGGCTAGGACCCAGCTGCCACCTCCTGCAGGAAGCTGTCCTAGGTAGCCCGCCCTCCTCTCATTTGTCTGCATAATTTCTAAATCCATCCTTCTCCAGCCACTGGGAAATGGGGAATTCTTCATACTTCTCTGATTCCTTAAATAGGTCTCATCTCCCCCCACCTAATCAGATGAGAACTCAGAGAAGAGAGGGTCCATGTATTCTTCCGCTAAACTAGAGACTCTGAAGACAGGAACTGCCTCTCCCATCAGAAAGGAGGCTCTCTGAGGGCACTGTGCCTCTTCTCCGACTCTGGGAATGAAGATCCTGAGTTCTTTATTCAAGAGCCCGGTCCAGGGTGGAGATCCTCCGGTGGCTGCAGTGCTCCTCCTCCAGGCAGCCTCTGGGCCAGTCTGGAGTTTCCTGCTCACAGCCACTCTCAGGCCATCCTGATTCAGCACAAACTGCTCTCTTCACTTCAACAACTTCCTGGGGTATATACGGGACCCTCCCTGCACTGTCTCCGGAGGGTCACCAGACCCCTCCCACCCAACCCTCTCCTTCCAAAACTAAGCCTTGAAAAATTAGACACCAAACCCCGCCCCCACTCCCACTCCCACACACACCGCACACTCACACACACACATTCAGCCAGGTAACTGCACAAGGGTGGAAGTGAACCAGTTCCTCTGGACATCCTTCCCCGAAAGGCTGCCAATCCCGGAGAAGAAGCACCAATGACCTTTGACCCTTCTCTGGGAGGCAGGGAGGCAGGTGAGCTCACAGCCTCTTGGGACCCAAGGGAAGGAGAAAGAAAGAAAGAAAGAAAGGGCGCACAATTCCTGGGGAGGGAACGGGAGCGGAAGGAAGTGGAGAGTAGGAACCGAGACAGACACACAGACTGTCGGAGAGTCCACGGGGCTGCTGAGAAGAAAGACAACAGACCGAGAGTGGAGCCAGGAGAAGCGGCATAGGGGACAAGGGCTCCCGCCGCCCTGAGTGACACCCGAGGGTGGGAGAGAAGGGAGAAGCCCTGCGGGCGGGAGAGAGAAAAGGGTCCCTGAAGAGGAGAAAGCGACAGAGAGAAGTGCACCTGGGAAAGGCCGGGAAGAGATGGATGGGAAAGGAGACGGGCGGTGGGGGGCAGCTGTGGAGCCGGAGAGGTGGTCCCCCTTCCCACATGGCTGCCGTCCGCCGGCCCCAGGCTTGGGGTAGTCCTCAGGAGTCGGACACCCCCTCAAAGCACTGCTGGAGATGGGGTGAGGTTGGGGACGGCCACCTACTTCACTCCCAGAGCCCCTCTCCCCAGGCAGAGCCCGGGGGCTAGTTTCTCTCCAATCCATCAGCACAACGCCCCGCCGGGCAAGAAAGAGTTAAGCCCTCTCCCCCTCCCCCCACACCAGCTTTTTATTAATTTCTCTGGGCCTGGAGCGGGAGGGAGGGGATTAGGGCCGTAAATCCTATCTCCACCCCCTCCCCTGACAGCCCGGCACCCCAGCCCCGTACGGTCCCCCTAGGGATAGGGGAAGAAAGGCCCTTGTCGCTTGGCCCCGTCCAACCCTGCTCGGGGTCCCATCGGGGTCCCACAGCAGGCCCGAGTGGCCCCAGCCCCGGCTCCCGGTCCACCCCAGGGCGCCCGGCCCCTCACCTCCGGCATCGGTCATCTTCAGCGTCTGGCGCCCCGGGAACCCCTCAGGCCCATGGTGCTCGAGGCGGGGACCCGGCAGGAGAGGGGCGGGGGGGACCGTCACCCCGGCCGCGGGGGGCTCCGGGCGGGCTCGAGCCACTCCATCCCGGGGGTTGGGGTTGGGGTGGGGTCGACGGGGGAGGGTCCCGCAGCCGGAGGGGATGGAGGGCGGGGGAGGTAGGGAGAGGGAGCAGGTTCTCTGGAAACAGGAGGCGCGGGCGGGGCTGGACCAGGAGACCTGACGGGAGGATGCTCCTTGTGTGTGTGCGTGCGTGTGCGTGTGCGCGCGCGTGTGTGTGTATGTGTGTGTGTGTGAGAGAGAGAGAGAGAGGAGAGCGAAGAGCGAGCGCCACCTCCCTCCCCGCCCCCGCAGCCCGCCAGGGCCGGCCGGATGCTGAGACCCGCCTGGCAGGGCCGATTCGCGCCGCGTGGCGTTGGCCTGGGTCCGCGGGGGTCCCCGGGGAAGAGGCTTTGCGGGGGGCGCGTGGCGGGGAAGCCAGGCGCCCAGGAGACAAAGAGCTGGAGGGAGCGAGGGGGCGGAGGCGGGGGAGGGCGGCGGGGAGGAGACGGCCCGGCCCGGGGAGCGGAGTTGCCGCTACTTCTCTGCCCGCGGGAGACGCGGCGCACCAGAGTCTGCGCGGGTGGGAGTAGCTGCGGGGCGGCCCCGCCGCGGGACCCACGGGGCTTCCGCCCGCTCTGCAGGGTCTGTCAGGGCTCCAGATTCGCTCATTCATTCAACAAACGTCCGCCGGGACTCCGAGGCTGGAGGGGACAGCGGTGAACAGAACCCCCCATCCCCCAGCCCCGCTCAAGGCCAGCGGGGCATTCGGGGGCGCAGATGAGTGGGGAGGCCCTTACCAGCCAGAGTGCGGTGGGCCCGGCTCACAGAGGGAAGCGAGAGCGCACCCTTGGCCCGGCCTGGGTCCCGGCGGCGGCTGGCTGGTGGGGGGTGGGGGGGCGCATATTCCCAGAGGAGGTGACGTGTGGGCTACAACTGCTGGCCAGGTTAGGGAAGTGCCAGGGGGTGTTGGGGGTGGGAGGGCAAGAGGGAAGATGAGTTGAGGTTGGGGAGGTGCAGGGGGCTTGCACTTTGTTCTACCAACCACACACGCACACTTAACAGAGGAGGGAGGGTCTCAGGTATGAATTTAAGAAGCACCCTTGGCTCCTCTGGAGACGACAGGGTTGCAGAAGGCAGCCTGAAGGCAGGGAGACTCTCGGGTTGCAGAAGGCAGCCTGAAGGCAGGGAGACTCTCGGGAGGCTGTTGAGGACCCCTGGCAGTGGGCATAACGATTACAGATTAAGCTGAGAAGCCTTCAAGATGCAGGCCTGAAGAAACTGACAGGATTTGGGGACCTGGTGGACTAGGAGGTGAGGGAAGAGGGGTCTGGGATGGCTGTGGACCTTGGCTTGAGGCAGAGAGCCCTGGAGCAGGCAGGGGTGGGGACGGATGAGATCAGACTTGGACCCAGTGATCTGGAGGCAGTGGCAGGCTAGCCAGGGTAGGCAATGTAGTAGGGATCCACAACCAGCTACCTCACAGCACAGCTTGGCAAGTGTCAGGCACTCAGATCACCTATTGTCACCCTCACAATAAACCCACAAGGTGGGTGTTTCCATTACCCACTGCCTCAGAGAAAACAAGACTTAGAAGAAGGAAACTGCTTTGCTTAAGAGCAAGTGATGAAAGGCCAGCTGCAGTGGCTCATGCTTGTAATCCCAGCACTTTAGGAGGCCAAGGTGAGTGGATCACTTGAGGTCAGGAGTTCGAGACCAGCCTGGCCAACATGGTGAAACCCCATCTCTACTAAAAATACAAAACTTAGGTGTGGTGGTGCGTGCCTGTAGTCCCAGCTACTCCAGAGGCTGAGGCATGAAAATCACTTGAACCCGGGAGGCGGATGTTGCAGCGAGCTGAGATTGTGCCACTGCACTCCAGCCTGGGCAACAAAGTGAGACTCCATCTCAAAGAAAAAAAAAAAGAGTTGGATTAGGGGTCCAGAGTTAGGGGAGAGGTGTGGAGTCTACTGAGACAGACAGAGTTTCCTGACAGCCCACAGGACTCTGCAGTCTGAGGCCTCCGGGAAGTGGCCTGTTGAACCAGGACAATCTTGTGACTATGAGTGAGGATGAAATTAACAGCCTTTAGGGTCTGAGGGTATCCTAGGGGATCTATGGGAGTTTAGGGGGGGTCACTGGATGTCTTTGGAATCTTCTGGCAGCCATGAGGCTAGATTGTGGAAATCTGGGGAAGGGGTGGTATCTCTGGTGATACCTGTGGGGTCTGCATCTGCGGGTCTTAAAGGTGATATGCTTTGTAGGCATCTGGTGAGATCTGGGTGGTAGGCTGGAGTTGGGGGGATTATATAGCCCCTGTATACCCCAAGGGGGTGGAAGACGATGGGTGTGTTTGCTAGACCCTAGGACCCAGGAGGAGCCCTTGTTCTGCTGTTCCTAGTGAGGCCTAAGCTTCTGGGAGTTGGGAAAACACCCCTTATTGGCAAATGTTAGCAAACCTACTCAAGCGAGCTTCCAAAATTGGGCAAGTGGGTGGGGGAATGGGGGGTTTAAGGTGACAGGCCCACTCACAGCCCCTTGACATAGTCCCAGACATGGACATACTGTGTTATCACGGGCAAGTCACAGCTCAGGCCTGAGAAACTCACAGCAAAACCACACACAAGACCTCCAGCCACACAACATACTTGGGCTTAAATATGAGGGGCTACTTTGCTCACTGTTTGGAACATACAATGTACAGGCCCCTCACCTAATGCACAAGACAGACAGGGGATGGTAGGAGACAGAGGGACCCCACCCTGGATGCTTAGCCCCAACCAGCCCAGCAGAAACCTTCACAGCCTTCATGCCTGCCTCCCCACCCATGAAGGGCACACCACTTCACTTCTTGGCTAGGTTTCCTGAGCAGGGCCTTGGTGGCTCCAGGGTTCAGTGACTTCTAACTCTGGAGCCATGACCTGTGACCCTGTGGTTTGGTGGTCTCTGATCTTGGGGTTCAGACACCTGAATCTGGCTTCAGCATCATCAAGGCTTCCAGAGTGTTCCACAGATTGTCCACATAGCAAAGATGCCTTGGGAAGAGCAATCACCATCTCCAGGTTCCCAGGGAACCCTCAGGTGGAGGCAGGACTGGACTGCGCCTGAGGTGTAGACCTCGGGTTTTTGAGAGGTAGCTATGGCAAGCCAGAATTTGGCTTAGCATGAATGGGACCTGTGTGACACGACCATCCACAAGGGATGCTTCTGGAGCTGACTGTCCCCATGCTGGCCACTCATCTGGATGTTGTCAAGGACCCACCAAGGTGACCTTGAAGAGCCCTGAGGTTGGGACTTCATTCCTTATGGCAAAGGGAGGGGAAGGTGAGAATCCCCAAGCGCCATGCCACTGAATACAGGTGCCTCCACGCTTCCGGTCTCACATCTATACACCAGCAGCCTGGCAAGTGAAGGCTGGTCCTGGGGCCTGCCACAAGCTCCTGCCCCATTCCCTGCTGGCTCTCCTCCCTCTGGGACTTCACCAAAGATTGTCCCTGGAACCCTGGCACCTAGACTCCCAAACCCATTAGCCTTCAAGCTGAGTCAGCATGCGGGCCTGCTGGTCCAGCGCTGGGGCTGGGGCTATTTCAGGCCACTTGGCCTGCCCCAGAGGGCAAACAGATTCTCTAGGACCCTGGGGACAAACCTGCCAGGCAGTCACCTCCCACCCCCAGCAATCCTTTGATCCTTCACCCGCTTCAAGGAGGTGTTTCTTGAGTATCCCCACAGTTTATTTTTTTTCTTTTTAACAGAAGATTCCCAAACTAGAGTGTCCCCCCAGTTTAGAGGCCTTCTGGGGGAATGACTTAGGGTTCACCTTGCTGTATTTAGCCGATCCTTTGAAATTCTTGGAGGCCTTGAAAAAGGAATGCAGCCTGAATGAACTCTTTAGAAACCCCCAGCCCTGCCCAGGACTGGACAAAAACCATTTGTGTCGATGGGTGGAATGGGGGCAGAGAGGCACCCGGGGACACTGTAGGAAGTTCCTCAGGGTTAGAGGCAGCACTGGTAGGAGGGGACCACCGGGGCAGCCTGGCATCCTTGATCCCTGCCCACTCCCTGCCCCAGTGAACCAAGAAACCAGGCAGCGAGGTTCTGGGGGCTGCTTTTATGGGGACAACCTGACAGAGGGCATGGTCCGTACAAAACCGGGAACAATACATACATATATATATTATATACAGAGACGCGGTCCTCCGGATGGCTGGGCAGGGGTGGCCACTGGCCCAAGCAGCCAGCAGCAGTCCCGCCCACCCGGTTCCGCCCCCTCCATCTGCCGGGGTGAAGTGCGTGGGCCCAGGACTGAGACGGCCAGCTCCTTCAGGGGATGGGGGCACATCTGGGGGTAGGAAGGGGTGGGGACAAGAAATACTGATAGAAGTCATGGTCTATTTACAGGGGACAAGAAGCCAAAACGGATGGGATGGGCGGTCTGTTTTTAAAAAATGAACAAAAACCCAGATTTGGGGCAGGGGCATGAAGTGGCAAAAGGAGATGGATTCTGAAAGGGGAGGGGACCTGGGGGGGCCTCACCTCCCTTGGTCCAAGCCCCAATTTGGGGTTAAAGTGGGGAAACAAAGTCGATTTCACTTAGAAGGCAGGCTGCCAGCAGGGCAGCCCTGGTCTCCAAAAAGATGAGCAGTAGTAAAATTTTGCCCTCCAGTCAAAACATTGGAAAAATAGTGGGGTGTGGGGGTGGGGTGAGGCTGACTCCCTTCGATATCAGTACAAGGCTTCCAGGCATCGCCCTGGGCTGGGCAGGCAGAGCAGAACAGGATCGGCCCTGGTTCTCCAGCGAGAAATGGTCCCCTTGCCTAAGGCCAGGGTCTCTGTAGCCAGGTCCCCTAAGCTGACCTCCTCTCCTCCCTGGCATTCCCAGCCTTGACCAGGAAACCTGGACCCGAGAGGCCACACAACAGTTCCAGGGGGAGGTTATGGCTATTTGGCACCTGGGAGAGGGGAGGCACAAGGAGAAATTGAGGGCAGCTGCCCCAGGAAATGGGGAGCTAGGGACCAGGTATCCTGAACTCTCCCTTCTTCCTACTCTCACTCCCCTGTTCCCGAAGCAAACAGGAGAAATCAGTGCAGGGCCAGGGCCAGGCCCAGCCTCCGGACTCTGGGGGGGACTCTATCCCTCCCAGGACAGGGAAAGGGGATGGGGGAGGTGTTGAGGCAACCCCCCACCCCCAAGGCAGGAGGGTCAGAATGCAACAGAGACAGCACAATGATGGGGGAGAGGGAA